CAGTACTAAAAACAAGAAGGAAGAGGAAAAGAAAGGAGAGGAGGAAAAGGAAGAAAAGGAGGAGGAAGAAAAGGAGGAGGAGAATAACAATGGTGATGATGGTGGTGGTATATAGCTCAGGAATAGAGTGCGTGTCTAACAGGTTATAAGTCAATCACCAGAACTGAAAAACAAAACAAAACTTGCACATTTCAGTGTTGTTAGTGATCCCTAACTAGATCAGCCCTAAGTTCACTTTTCCTTTTTAAAAATGAATTGTAGCTGGGAAGGTGGCTCAGCGGTAGAGTGCTTGCCTGGCAAACATGAGGCCCTGGGTTCGATTCCTCAGCACCACATAAGCAGAAAAAAACGGAAGTGACACTGTGGCTCAAATGGTAAAGTGCTAGCTTAAGCTGAAGAGCTGAGGGACAGTGCCTAGGACCAGAGTTCAGGCCCCACAACTGGCAAAACAAAACAAAAAAAAAAAGAATTGTTATTAGTAATTGAAGAGGAATAATTAAAAAATCATTTTTTGTAAGTACCACTGTAATCACTGAGATTTCAAAGCAAAGGATATAAAAACTATTAGGTAGAAAAGTTTGGGAGAAAAGGATATTGATACAACTCTCAAAAGTATCACTCCACATTATTTATTAATCACAAGGATAAAATGCCTTAGCAGTGGAGAAATCTAGCAAACAATACCTTAGTCAGGTGATCAAATTTACTTCTACCAATAAAAGAATAAATTATATCATGTACCTTCTAATACAATACATTTAGACATACTATCTCATTTATGTAGTGTTCTTGACAAAACTGTTGAACTTAAAACAAATCATGAGGAAATAATGAGCCAATTTCAAACTGAGAGACTTGCAAAATTGACTGGACAATCCCAAAATATTTTTTTAAAAAATCAAGCTATACTTTTTATTGAGCAGGAAAAATCAAGCTATACTTTTTATTGAGCAGGAAAAATCAAGCTATACTTTTTATTGAGCAGGAAAAATCAAGCTATACTTTTTATTGAGCAGGAAAAATCAAGCTATACTTTTTATTGAGCAGGAAAAATCAAGCTATACTTTTTATTGAGCAGGAAAAATCAAGCTATACTTTTTATTGAGCAGGAAAACATAGGTTTGATTTCCCCCTTGGCTATTCCTCATCACCATCACCTCAATGGTTTTAATATCACCATGTGTTTCTTACTTCCTGCTTATTCTAGTGACACAGGTCAGAGAGATTTATTTTCCTGCGATGGGACTAGAGTTTGAACTCAAGACCACAAGCTTCCTTGGTTTACTAGTTCATTTAGTGCTTTACAGTTTGTGCCTGGATTTTTGCTGGTTATTTTGAAAGTAGAGTCTTGAGGACTATTTTTGAGCAGGATGGCCTCAAGCCAAGATCCTCTGAATCTCAGCTTCCTGAGTACTTAGAATTGTAGGTATAAGCCACAGGTGAAAGGCCTAGGGTTTTATCCCCAGCATACAAAAGAAAAAGGAAAAAATGAAAAAAAGATTCTTCTTAATGTAATTTTTGTTTGTTTTGGTATAAGAATATGTTTTTCAGAAAAATAGTATAAGCCATGTGCCAGTAGCTCACACCTGAAATCTCAGCTACTCAGGAGGCTGAGATCTGAGGATCAAGGCTCAAAGCCAGCCTAGGCAGCAAAGTCCATGATACTCTTTTTTTCTTTTGGGGGGAGGGGGAGGGTCCGGTCATGGGGCCTGAACTCTGGGCCTGGGCGCTGTCCCTCAGCTCTTTAGCTCAAGGCTAGCACTCTACCACTTGAGCCACAGTGCCACTTCCGACTTTTTTCTTTTTGCTTATGTGGTGCTGAGGAATCAAACCCAGGGCCTCAAGCATGCAAGACAAGCGCTCTATCACTGGGCCACCTTCCCAGCCCCCTCCATGAGACTCTTATCTCCAATTAACCACCAGAAAACCAGAAGTGGCACTGTGGCTCAAGTGGTAGGGCGCTCACCTTGAGCTGAAGAGCTCAGGGACAGTGCCCAGGCCCAGAGTTCAGGCCCCACGACAGACCAAAAAAAAAAGTAATATAGATGACAACAGGCAATAGGTTTATTATTATTTTAAATGATTTAACAAACATTGCTAAAATTTAAATTTTAATATAATAAATATTAATAATGATAAGTTACATAAGCAAGAACTCTCTTTGATCCTCAATAAATCCTTTTTTTTTTTTTTTGGCAGTGGTGGGGCTTGAACTCAGGACCTGGGCACTGTCCCTGAGCAATTTTGCTCAAGGCTTGTACTCTATCACCAGCTCTATTTCTAGTTTTCTGGTGGTTAATTGGAGATAAGACTTTCACAGCCTTTTCTATCTAGACTGGCTTTGAACCATGATCCTTAGATCTTAGTCTCCTGAGTAGCTAGAATTACAAGTGTAAGCCACTGATGCCCATCCCCAGTCAATAAATCTTAAAAGAATATTAAAAAATACTGGGCCAGGCATCATACCTGTAATCCTAGCTAATCAGGAGGCTGAGATCTGAGGATCAAGGTTCAAAGCCAGCCCAAGGAAGAAACTCCATGAGACTCTCTCTCTTTTTCTTTTTTTGGGGTCCGGTCGTGGGGCCTGAACTCTGGGCTTGGGCCCTGTCCCTCAGCTCTTCAGCTCAAGGCTAGCGCTCTACCACTTGGGTGTCAGCCCCACTTCTGGCTTTTTTCTTTTTGCTTATGTGGTGCTGAGGAATTGAACCCAGGGCCTCAGGCATGCAAGGCAATCACTCTACCACTGAGCCACCTTCCCAGCCCACTCCATGAGACTCTTAACTCCAATAAACCACTCAGAAAACTGGAAGTGGCATTGTGGCTCAAGTGGTAGAGCACTAGCCGTGAGCTGAAGAGCTGAGAGACAGCACCCAGGCCCAGAGTTCAATCTTCATGACCGACCAAAAAAAAAAAAAAAAGAAATACTGGGGAAAAAACTTTTTAGTGTTTCATATACCTACAATCCCAGCACTTGGGAAGGTAGAAGGATCACTGAGTTTGAGACCAATCTGGATTATACCTCAAAATGAAATAAAGTAAAACATTCTTTGGAAAGAGGTCCTATGGATGTGGTTCAAGTGGTAGAGCACCTGCCTAACAAATATAAAGCCTTGAGTTCAAGTTTCAATACCAAAAAAATAGATGTACTAAGATCTTTGTCCTAGAGCAATTATCATATAGGTATGCCAAAAATATACTTAAGAATGTACATATAGGGCTGGGAATGTGGCTTAGTGGTAGAGTGCTTGCCTGGCATACATGAAGCCCTGGCCTTTATTCCTCTATACTACATAAGCAGAAAAGGCCAGAAGTGGCACCATGGCTTAAGTGGTAGAGTGCTAGTCTTGAGCAAAAGAAGCTCAGTGACAGTGCCCAGGCCCTCAGTTTAAGCCCCAGGACTGGCAAAAACAAAAATCAAAACAAAAGAATGTACATTTATTAAACAGAATCAGAATCAACCTTAACATTCATAAGCAGGAAAAACTGCATGTGCTTAAAATGACTATAGAGCAGTTTTTTGGGTTGTTTTTGTCAATCGTGGGGACTGAACTCTGGGCCTACGCGCAGTCCCTCAGCTCTTCAGCTCAAGGCTAACCCTCTACCACTTGAGCCACAGTGCCACTCTAGTCTTTTGTTATGTGGTGCTGAAGAATTGAACCCAGGGCCTCATGCATGCAAGGCAAGCACTTTAGCACTGAGCTACCTGCCCAGCCCCATATAGAGCAGTTTTAAGCAATGAACCACAACTACTTAAATTAACATGATCAAATCTCAGAAACAATGTTGAACTTAAAAGGCATTTGTTGAGCCAGGGGCTGTTAGTTCATGCCTATAATCCTATCTACTCAGGAGCGGAGATCTGAGTATCATAATTCAAAGCCATGCCAGGCAGGAGGAAAGTCCATAAGACTCATTTCCAATTAACCACCGGAAAAGCAGAAGTGGAGCTATTACTTAAAGCAGTAGAGTGCTAGCCTTGAGCAAAAGAGTTCTGGGACAGCACTCAGGCCCCAAGTTCAAGCGCCATGACTGACCAAAAAAAAAAAAAGATACAATACCCATAACCAGAAAACATGCCTATCTTCATGGTGCATAGGTCATAGATGAAGAGAGAAACTTTAACCAAGTACTCCACTATGAAATGTAAAACCATGACCATGATGAATGAGAGGTACATGGAGCTCTGGGACTATAATAGGAAGATCTGAGTCAGGGAACACTGCCTTTCAGCAATGTGTATTAAGACTTCTTGATCAGATTATAAACCTCATAGTACACACCTTCTACCTTTAGCAGTACTGGGGTTTGAATTCAGGGCTTTGTATTTGTTTTGTAGTTTTTACTCTTAGATTGCTCATTTTCTTTTGATATCTTCACTAAGTACTCAAAATAAAATGGGCTATCAGTATACACACTTACTTATGCACAATGTATCTATACCTACATGCCTGATATTTTGTTTATAGGAACTCAAAGTGAAAAGTTAGTTTGCTATCTTTCCTCTCCTAGCATTCCAAACAAGTACCTTGAGAGTGCTTAGGATGGTTTTCAAAGAAAGTGCTAGCAAAGGCACGGAAGGACTAACACAAAACATTTTTACGCCAGGTTCCAGTGGCTCATGCCTATAATCCTAGCTACTAAAGAGGGTGAGATCTGAAGATCACAGTTCAAAGCCAGCCCGGGCAGGAAAAGCAGTGAAACACTTATCTCTAATAAACCACCAGAAAACCAGAAGTGGGCTGTGCCTCAAGTGGTAGAGCACTAGCCTTGAGCTGAAAAGCTGAGGGACAGCGCTCAGGTCCAGAGTTCAAGCCCCATGATCAACAAAAAAAAAATTTACTTTTAGAAACATGGCATGTAGTCTACACTCTGTAAGACAGTTCTGTAATGTTACTCCTTTATTTTTGCAAACAAAAGCAAAACATTTATAATAAAGCCATTAGACATTAACAAGAAAAACAGTTCAGTGGTCATCAAGAAGCAGCCCCACAACTACTTACATCACGAAACTGAACCTTCCCGAGTTCTCCTAATTCACTGACGCAACAATAAGCAGCTTCTGACTGTAGAAATAACTGAGCCAGAGTCATCTCCTCACTGCGGAAAAGCTCCCCCATGGTGGCAGAAAGTTGTCAACAGAGTCTCTGAATTTTACTGCAACCTGAAGTAAGAGAGAAAATGCTGTGACTTTGGTAATTACCTAGAACAATACCCCAAAGTAAGGATCTTCTTCCACCTCTTGCTGACAATAGTTGTCTTTAACACCTGTTTTGATGAATAAAAATAAAAAGAGGAAATGAGAAAGTGCAATCCTATGGAGTATCATAAAAAATAAAAAAATTTTAAAAAGTCGGACTGGGAAGGTGGCTCAGTGGTAGAGCACTTGCCTTGCATGCATGAGGCCCTGGGTTCCATTCCCCAGCACCACATAAGCAAAAAGAAAAAAAGCAGGAAGTGGCGCTGTGGCTCAAGTGGTAGAGTGCTAGCCTTGAGCTGAAGAGCTGAGGGACAGACCTAGGCCCAGAGTTCAGGCCCCAAGACCGGACCCCCACCCCCCCAAAAAAAAATTTTTTTTTAAGTCACGGCTCTTGTCTGTGATCCTAGCTACTCAGGAGGCTGAGATCTGAAGATCATGATTCAAAGCCAACCCCAGAGTATCTGTGAGACTCTTTATCTCCCTTAAATTTTTTTTTTAAAAAGCCAGAAGTGGAGCTGGAGCTTAAGTGGTAGAGCGCTGGCCTTGAGCACAAAAGCTCTAGGCCTAGAGGTTAAGCCTCACAACTGGGAAAAAAGAAAAAGGCTGGGAATGTGGCTTAGTGGTAGAGTACTTGCCTAGCACACATGAAGCCCTGGGTTCGATTCCTCAGTACCACATAAACAGAAAAGGCTGGAAGTGGCTCTGTGGCTCAAGTGGTGGAGTGCTAGCCTTGAGCAAAAGAAACTCAGGGATAATGTTCAGGCCCTGAGCTCAAGCCCCAGAACTGGCACAAAAAAAAAAAAAAAAAAAAAATTATTTCCTTTGCAATCAACTGAGTCAGGACTGGTAACTACTGTGGGCTCAATAGCTAAGAATACACCCAGATTGCTGGGCCCTCACTCCTGTAATCCTAGTTAGGAGGCTGAGACCTGAGGATCTCGGCTCAAAGCCAGCCCAGGACAGGAAAGTCCATGAGACTCTTATCTCCAATAAACTACTCAGAAAACCAGAAGTGGGGGCTGGGAAGTTGGCTCAGTGGTAGAGCGCTTGCCTTACATGCCTGAGGCCCTGGGTTCGATTCCTCAGCACCACATAAGCAAAAAAGAAAAAAAAAAGCCGGAAGTGGCGCTGTGGCTCAAGTGGTAGAGCACTAGCCTTGAGCTGAAGAGCTGAAGGACAGTGCCCAAGCCCAGAATACAGGCCCCATGACTGGACCCAAAAAAAAAAAAAAAAAACAGAAGTGATGCTGTGGCTGAAGAGCTCAAGGACAGTGCCCAGGCCCAAAGTTCAAGCCCCATGTCCACCAAAAAAAAAAAAAAAGAATACACCCAGATTCAAAGGCTGGTAATGGGAACCTCAAACAGCTCTTTCACCCTGGACACAGTACTATGAGGCATTGCCTGCAGTGTTGGTTCTATTGTTTGTTTTTTGGCTTTTTTTTGTTGTTGTTTCCTTGAGCAAAAATAGATCATACCTTGATTACCCTCTTATAAAAGATGTCTGCACTGTGAATTGTCAGCTGACAATGCCCATTTTCATCAACCAAAGTGCCAATACTTTACTTTTATAAAGGATTTAATCTCTTCAGAAAACACTATTTCCCTCTGAAGAATTCAAACATGAGCCAGCACAGGTGGCTCATGCCTGTAATCCTACCTACTCAGGAGACTAAGATCTGAGAATGGCAGTTCAAAGCCAGACCAGAAAGGAAAGTCCGTAAGAGACTAACTCCAATTTTAGCCCAGAGCTCAATTGGAAATAAAAAATTATAAAAAATAATAATAAATAGGGCTGAGAAGGTGCTCAGTGGCAGAGTGCTTGCCTTGCATGCATAAGGTCCTGGGTTCAATTCCTCAGCACCACATAAGCAGAAAAAGCCGGAAGTGGCACTGTGGCTCAAGTGGTAGAGCATAGAGCATTCACCTTGAGCTGAAGAGCTGAAGGTCAGCGCCCAGGCCCAGAGTTCAGGCCTACGACTGACACAAAACAAATAAATAAATTAAATAATAATAATAAATAAAAAAGAGGCAGTCAGCATATTAAGCTCACTTTGAAATCAAATCAGACAGAACACATTAGTAATGACAAAGCAATTTTAATAAGCCACAGAGAAAAGCTTTCTACCCCAAGAGCTGTTTCTCATCTCATTTTCAAGGTAAGTAAGTATCTTTTTCCATCTGCCAAATCTCATACATGAGCAATAAAGGTGGAGTTTTCCATCTATTTTACAATTTTTCTATCTATTTTACAAGTTGTTGGATATGAAAGAAAACTGGCGCTATCAGTGGTCCTGAAACTGCCAATTCTTTATCCTCCATCAGCTAGTCTAAGGCACAGATTGTACAGTATCTAACCTCAGAAAACATATACACCATTTTTAATGTCACAAGGTCACCCACATCCCGTATGGCACATGACATAGGGGGAGACTGACATCAAAGGAAGATGTACTCTTTCTGGAAGACAGGGAGACCATTTTGAGAAATCTGAACAACATTGTGCTTGTGATGTTTAAGGGCGACAAGACAGCACGCTCATCTAAAAAACAACGGTTTCTCAAGACATGAGATAGGTATCTGAATCATCCAAACCAGCCTCTACCAGCCCTCCACCTTCAACAAAGATGCGTTCCACAACTTCAAAACATCCAATTAATGCCTGATCATTATAGTTCAGGGGCTGCCGATAATGACAGTCTCCAAGGATGTCCTCTGAGATCATCTCTACCCTCGCCCCAACGAAGTCAAACAGAAAGCGAATTTAGCCAAAGAGGTTTTGTTGTTTTTTTTTTTGGGGGGGGGGGAGGATGTTGTCGCACAACGAAATAAGCAATAGCAATTCTGTAAAAATAGGAGTCCAAATATTGCTCCCATACACACACATCCCGCGCGCCCGCTTCTAAGAACCCCACCGCCTCCAAGAATCCAGTCCTCCAGTCCTGGCGAGGCACTAATTCACCTGCTCCATTTCCTCTCTGCCCAGAGAAAAGCAGGAACTCTCGGGACCCCGCAACCCTATCTCTTGGGCAGGTTAAAAAAACAAAAAGAGGGGAGGGAATAATACCACATCGAAGGAACCTCCATCCTTGAAATCGTCTGCCTTACCCCATACCTTCAATCCTTTCGCCTCCCTCTAGCACGGTGGGGCGGGGGGGGGGGGGGGGGGGGAGGGGGACTCAGGTCCTCCACCCGACAGTGACCCTCCAGCTCCTCAGCTACAGACAGGGGTACCCAAAAGGGGTGAACCCCCACTTTCTCCCAGCGACCTAACACCGCTACTGATTCTGTCTGACAGGCCAGAGGAATATTAGGAAAGGTTCCTGCGTCCCTCAAAGGCCGCTCCAAGACGCATTACACCTACAACCCACGCTCACCTCCCACCTCAGGCCCTGCCGCCGCCGCCACAGCAGCCGCGATCTCCTCCTCCTTCTCCACCTCCTCCACCTCGGCTCAGGGCAGAAGCGCCTCGACGTGCGTGCGTCAGCAAGGCACCGCCCCCGCGCCACCACCACAGAGCCCCGCCCACAGGATGATCTCATCGACGTTGACCAATCAGGTGTTGTCTCGCTGGGGCTGCCGCAGTGCGGAGTTGCAGGGGCGCGGGCGAGTCTCATGTTAGTGACGCCATCTTGATCCCAATCCGGTGACTCCAGCTGGGAGGGTTGTGGGGCGGGGCCGGTGGTGCCAGGCTTTGATGTTTGGGGTCCCTGAGAATTTTTAGTCTTTTGTTTCTAATCCTTCTCTTTCAGACAAGACTGCGTACCTGCTTTATTAAAAAAAAAAAATTGTTTCCCAGAGATCCTATGAAATAGTCCATTCCACTTAAACATGAAAACCTTTCTTAAAGTACATGGTGTGTTTCTTCCAGCAACTAGATTTACATTTTCTCTTAGGAGGAAAAACCTTTAAAGACCATAAATTGGAAAAGTCATCTAATGTGTGTGTGTGTGTATGTGCCAGGACTGGGGCTAGAACTCAGGGTCTGGCTATTACTGTCAGCTTTTTCTTTCAAGGCTGGCCCTCCACTACTGCTCCACTTCCGGTTTGGGAGGTAGTTAATTGAACATAAGATTCCCACCGACTTTTCTGCCCAGGTGACTTCGAATCTCGATCTTGTTGGTTTTTGTTTTTTTTTGGGGGGGGGGGGGGGTCCGGTCGTAGGGCCTGAACTCTGGGCCTGGGCGCTGTCCCTCAGCTCTTCAGCTCAAGGCTAGCACTCTACCACTTGAGCCACAGCACCACTTCCGGCCTTTTTTCTTTTTTGCTTATGTGGTGCTGAGGAATAGAACCCAGGGCCTCAGGCATGCAAGGCAAGCGCTCTACCACTGAGCCACCTTCCCAGCCCCGAATCTCGATCTTAAGATCTCAGCCTCCTGAGTAGCTAGCATTACAGGAGTGAGCCACCAGTGCCTGGTTTTGAAAGTCTTATTTTTAACCTTCTTTGGTAGATAGATACTTGTGGGTCTATTTGACCACTTAGGGGTTTGCAGTTGCTCAAACTTATTAAAGAGAATAATTTTTTTTTTTTGGGTCCGGTCATGGGGCCTGAACTCAGGGCCTGGGTGCTGTCCCTCAGCTCTTCATCTCAAGGCTAGCACTCTACCACTTGAGCCACAGCGCCACTTCCGGCTTTTTTCTTATGTGGTGCTGAGGAATCGAACCCAGGGCCTCGAGCATGCAAGGCAAGTGCTCTACCACTGAGCCACCTTCCCAGCCCCAGAGAATAATTTTTAAATGCCAAATGATGCCGATTATTTTTTAAACCGCCTTCTCAAATATTAATGATGAGTCCCTTTCCTTTTCTGTTTGAAAGGAGCAGAATTCTTGAGTTTGTAATAACCAGAAGCACGTCAGTAAGAACTTGGAAAACTGGTTATTCTGCCTGTGGGTGGTGGAATCCTTTTTAGATTCAAGTGTAATGAGGGAAATATTAAAAAAAAAACCTGAGACTTAAAATTTTTTGTCTGCCTGGCAAAAACGTTGTCGACCTTGATTTACTAGCCTACATAAAGTAACAAAGGACAAATATGGACATTTTATTGGAATCTTCTCTCTTGTTGGATGAGTGAAGACACAAGTTGACTTCATTGAAGTTTTCTTGAGAAGCAACATCTGAACCGAGTCATACTCTTTTCCTTGCTTCCTGTGTCTCTCAACTTTCCTGACAAGGCAGATAGGGACCCACATTTGAAAACCTGCCAAGTTTTAGGAAACTATTGCACAATTACTGTCACTTCCTTCCTCAGTGACTTTAAAAAAAAGATTTACCCTTAGTCAGATGCTTGCTAACCACAAATTTTTTCATAGCCTTTCCCTTTGAACTGCTTTCCTGGCTTCCTTGAAAGTATATTCTCTCCTTTTCCTTTCATCTGCTGCCACAAGTCTTTATGTGTGTGTGTCCGTGTGCATGCATGTGTGTGCACATGCGCTTGCCAGTACTGGGGCTTAAAAGCAGTGACTATGCCAGGTGCTGCTGGATCCTGCCTGTAATCCTACTCGAGGCTGAGATCTGAGGATTGCAGTTCAAAGCCAGCCTGGGCAGGAAAGTCCATGAGATTCTTTTTTTTTTTTTTGGTGGGGGGGGGAGGTCTGTCGTGGGGCCTGAACTCTGGGCCTACGCGCTGTCCCTCAGCTCTTCAGCTCAAGACTAGTGCTCTACCACTTGAGCCACAGCGCCACTCCGGCTTTTTTCTTTTTTGCTTATGTGGTGGTGAGGAATCGAACCCAGGGCCTCAGGCATGCAAGGCAAGCACTCTACCACTGAGCCATCTTCCCAGCCCCAATCCATGAGACTCTTATCTCCAACTAACCACCAGAAGTGGCACTGTGGCTCAAGTGGTGGAGCAATAATCTTGAGCAGATAGTGCTCAGAAACAGCACCCAGGCTCTGAGTTCAAGCCCCACAGCTGACCAAAAAAAAAAGTATCATGGATTTTTCTGGGTAGGCTGGCTTCAAATTGTGATTCTCAGAGCTCAGCCTCCTGAGTAGCTAGTCCACTGGCACCCATCTTAAAATGCATTTTTTTTTTTTTTTGTCAGTCGTGGGGCTTGAACTCTGGGCCTGGGCGCTGTCCCTCAGCTCTTCAGCTCAAGGCGAGCGCTCTACCACTTGAGCTACAGTGCCACTTCCGGTTTTCTGGTGGTTTATTGGAGATAGGAGTCTCACGGTGTCTCCTGCCCGGGCTGGCTTTGAACCGCGATCCTCAGATCTCAGCCTCCTGAGTAGCTAGGATTACAGGTGTGAGCCACCAGCGCCCGGCAAAATTCATTTTTTTTTGGAAAGGCTTTTGCACAACTTTTTTTTTTTTTGTGGTACTTGGATTTGAATTCAGGGCTTCACACTTGCTAGACAGATGTTCTTCCACTTGAGCCACATCCGTAGCTGTGCAGTGCATTAAGTCCCACAAGCTAAAACTCTCCCTACCTCATGTGTCTATCACAAGAGTTATGAGGGTTGCATAAAATGTCACATGCTTTATGCTTACATCTCCTTGTCCATATAACCATTAGTAGAGTTAAAGAAAAAAATCAGCTGGGCGCTAGCGGCTCATGTCTGTAATCCTAGCTACTAGGACACTAAGATCTAAGGATTGCTGTTAGAAGCTAGCCCTGGGCAGGAAAGTCTAGGAGACTCTTATTTCCAATAAACTACTCAGAAAAAGCCAGAAATGGCACTGTGGCTCAAATGGTAAAGCACAAAGAGAGTCAGGGACAGCATCCAGGTCCTGAGCTCAAGCCCCAGGACTAGCAAACAAAAAAAGGAAAAGAAAAAAAAAAAACACTTTTTAAGCATCAAAGGAAACCTCAATATTTATTTATTTATTTATTTATTTATTTTGTCTGTCATGGGGCCTGAACTTGACGTGGGCCCTGTCCCTCAGCTCTTCAGCTCTTCAGCTCAAGGCTGGCACTCTACCACTTGAGCCACAGCACCACTTCTGGCCTTTTCTGCTTATGTGGTGTTAAGGAATCGAACCCAGGGCTTCATGAATGCAAGGCAAGCACTCTACCACTGAGCCACCTTCCCAGCCCACAAAATCTATTATGAAGTTTTTGCTTTTTACACACACACACAAAAGTATTATAAACACAAGCTTTGAAAGTAAAAGAAAAAAAATTTTAAAAAGTAAAAGCAGAGTGTTATTTTGAGGAACTTGGAGTGAAGTAATAAAAGAGACTACTTCAGTTGGGCACTGGTGGTGGCTTATGCCTGTAATCTTAGCTACTAAGTAGGTTAAGATCTGAGGATTGCAGTTCAAAGACAGTCCAGAAAGGAAAGCCCCTGAGACTCTTATTTCCAATTAACAATCCAAAAAGCTGGAAGTGGAGCTATGGTTCAAATTGTAGAGTGTTAGCCAAGTTTAAAAAAAAAAAATCAGGCCCCTGAGTTGAAGCTCCAGGATTGGCACCAGAGAGAGAGGGAGGGAGAGAGGAAGAGGAGGAGAAGGCTGTGACCCTAAGGACTGCAAGCATCTCAAGGGCTAGGCAAGGAAAATTTTCCCTTTATCGAGAGGTAAACAAAGCCAGAAAGAGCCAGGTATGGGAAATGGTATGAAATCTGCTGTGATAGAGAAGAATAAGAATGTTTGCCTCTGAGGCCAGCCAATTTTCAGGATGGGCTCTGCCCTGGCTCAAGCTGAGGAAGCCTGGGCCAAAGTTCAGGACCCTATCAGAAAGGCTGAAGAGGCTTCAGGAAGGTTTGGCTCACCAGAACTTTGTTCTGAGCGATCAGTGGATTCAAGCAGATCACTTAATCATTTGTGAGGGAAACAATGGGCTTTTCAAAGACCTATCTCTATCCTAAGGAAACAATCTGTGTCCTGTCTCCAAGGGGACATCTGTGATTTATATGGAAAACAGAGGTTCTTTATGTGAATTCGTTACCAGAACATTAAAAAAAAAAGGGGGGGGGGGGCTGGGAATGTGGCTCAGTGGTAGAGTGCTTGCCTAGCATGTATGAGGCCCTGGGTTCAATTCCTCAGGACCAAATAAGCGGAAAAAGCCAGAAGTGGCACTGTGGCTCCAATGGTAGAGTGCTAGCCTTGAGCTTAAGAGGGTAAGTGTCCAGGCCCAGAGTTCAGGCCCCAAAACTAGGGGGGGGGGGGGGGGAGGGGGAGGGGGATTGCGGCAAATTTCTTTTACGTTTTTTAGTCTTCCAGGAGCCTGAGAATCAGGTAATAAGATTCAACATTGTCTTCTCTTCGTCCATTCTCCCCGTTCCCTAATACCTGTAAATAATTAATCCACTTCTGCCTCCATAGATAGTCTCACTCAGAGTTCATTAAATGGAATCATAATTGACTGGGAGTGGGTTTCCAGTGGTAAAGTGTCAGTATGAGGTCCTGAGTTCAAACTCTGTGCCCTTGTCAGTATGAGGTCCTGAGTTCAAACTCTGTGCTTGTCAAAATAGAAAAA